GACAGGACCTGCCTAGTGGGCTGCATACAATTTTCACATCTCAGAACCGATACTGCACACTGTGGGCTTGTGGCCGACCTAATACGTGCGCAGCAGCAGCAGCAGCAGGAGCGACTGTGCTGATCCCACCCCTCTCCAACCCACTCGTTGGTTGCTAGGTTCTGTCAGTCGACTGGGGAATCCATGTAGTGTAGTGGGTAATTGCACACCGATCTGTTTCAGGATGCGTCCATCCTGGTTGATGCCTTTGCGATCTTGGCACCGCAAGCATATGTTGCAAGGCGAATAGTAATGTTACTTGGTAATACATAACATAAAAATATCTTACTTAAACTTAACAAGTAATCAATAGTCGAAAATATGTGAGGTCCGGGTAATTGAATAGAAGGCGGGAAGACGCTCTCTGGGACCAGTATTTTATTTGCCCGACGTCTTGGACTCTCACTCGAGGCCATTGTCAAGGAACGAAAACGTGCAGCTCACTGTGTGATCCTAAGGAACATCTTCACATTTTAATTTCTTGGGAAGCGCGTGTTCCAGTTTATACGAATCAAACAGACCCTATTTGGACGAAATCGGGGATTGCCCAAGATAAGTAAGGAAGGCTTTAAATGATGTCCTTGGGAAACCAGAACGGCAGATCATAAACCAATTGAAACCAGGTGAAGGCAAGTATAAGAAAGAACGCACTGTTCTCCAGAAACAAGGCTGAAATTCAGCTACACGAACTATTTTGTGTTGCAAAGTACTGACGTATTTGGGTCACAAAGCGCAGTAATAAACACGTTTGACTGCACTGTGCTTTACCACACCGAGAGAAATGGGACGGTAAAAAAATAGGTGCATTTTAGCTCGAGAGAGAGAGAGAGATTAGGGCTCTGGATCATATCAAATACAATTGGTTGACCGCTGTGAATTCTAACCTCAGGTCCATTGGTCCCTCCTGTATCCAAGTGCCGCATTGGATGGAATGGATTGAAGTGCAAAGTTTTTGCCATTCAGTTTCCTGAAACGTAAATAAAATGGCGTCTTGAAATAAATTTAGTAGTTTTTTTGCCAGGAATCAACAGTGCCGAAAACGGCAACTGCCTAAGTGACTTATTACAGTACTCGCTTGCCCCTGAGGATTCGCTGTCGTCTACTTCAGCTAGCATACAAAGCGCGACTAGCTCTAGCACAGCTACGAATTTGTAGTGTTTGGAAGACAGCAAACAAACCGCTATGGGGTTGTCTGCAGTCCAATCCAGTCGGTATTGCGCACGGCTTGACTGTAGACGCTCATCGTCGTTGATTACAGCGCTGGTAAAAAATATGAATCCCGGAAAGGGCGTAGGTGGCTGATGTCGCCACAACTGAGTCGCATTCCAGATGAGTAGGATTGCCACAGAGGCCACCAAAGGAAGACACTATCGCAGCCTGACTCAGACCCCAAACAGCCAGTCCGCAAAACAAGACACACTATGGACTGACCGCATCGTCCGCGCTATCCCGTCAGTTGGCAATCATTCAAGCCTTGCTCGTCTACTTCAGCTAGCATACGAAACGCGACTAGCGCTAGTTGAGTTGTGTTTTAAAAAAGCTACGAACTTGTAGTGTTTGGAGGACAACAAACAAACCGCGATGGGGTTGCCAGCAGTCCAATCCAGTCGGTATTGCGCACGGCTTGACTGTAGACGCTCATCGTCGTCAACAGTTGATTACGGCGATGGTAATTAAACGCGGAAAGGGCGTAGGTGGCTGATGTCGCCACAGCTGAGTCGCATTCCAGATGAGTAGGATTGCCACAGAGGCCACATTATGAAGGTGCTATTGCAGCCTGACTCCAAGTCCACCAGTCAGGCACTTCACACAAGCACACTGGACAAACCGCACCATCCGAGTTATCCCGCCGTCTGTTGGCAATTCTTCAAGCCCTTGTCTTCTACACCAGCTAGCATACAAAGCGCGACTAGCTCTAGGGCAGTTGTTTTTTTTTAAAGCTACGAACGTGTAGTGTTTGGTAGACAGCAAACAAACCGCTATGGGTTTGTCTGCAGTCCAATCCGCTTGATATTGCGCACGACTTGACTGTAAACGTTCGGCGTCGTTTACAGTTGATTACGGCGCTTGTCAAGAATAAGAAGAGAAATACCGAAAAAGCCTTAGTCGGACCGTCTCCACACTTCTGTGGGATGATCTAGCCTCATTCGGTCGATTAATTAGGACTCCGAAAACGAGACAAACGGCCAGTCAGTATAAGCGGGTCAGGATTTTCTTTCATCGATTTTGCTTATAGCGCTAAACTATCAAAACTGACTGACACTCCCACTGCAACTGCTCAAGGGTATGGGGAGCCTTTTCGCATAAGGTAAGGAGAGGTAGAAACTAGCAGTTTTACTTTATTTACCGCTGTCAACTAACTTGGAATAGGTGTTAGAGTAGGTTGTTCAATCACATTTGCTGTGGTCAAGTCACCTGAGAGTCCAAAAGGCCAAACCGCATCTCAATTGAATACTGAAACTCTAACCTAGTGTGTTAAATGGCTGGCTAGAGAGATGCCAGTCTTCGAGTCTATAAACTATAGAAAGCCATCCCTTAACTAGATCGTCTCACGGAATCGACAGTTTGACCATTATCGTCCACGAGTGGAATGCGGGCAGTCTATCAGCTCGTGACACCCTACTGGTCAGTTTGCATTTCGAAGAACGTTAGTTCATGTTCTATGTATATCAAAGACGTACACAATAGCGGATAGTAAAGCAATAAGAGGGAAAAGAAGTGTGACAGGCAAATGAGACGAAGGAGCATTCATGTACAAACACTTACAATGAGAAAACCAGGCAAGCGAATTTCAGAGGTTGACCTGAAACGCCGACGAATGAGCTGCTGTTGTTCAACGTCCAGGTACAGAGGGTTAATCCACCGGTAGACCAGGTCCTCCTGAAACACAGGAGATCAGAATCAGACATGCGCATCCAGGTCCGGCTAATTGATTGATGGTAGAAAGAGGAGAGAAATGACGGGGAGGCTGCGCGCACAGCCACAAAAATGTACATGGGGTGTGGCACGTACCTCGACGAAACAGGCCGGGAGACGTGGAATGTTCAAGGGGTCAGGGGATCGTGGAGGTCTTGGCAGGGGAGCACTCTTAAGCCAGCCATGAACCGAGAGGCGATCACGACTGCCGATGATCTCAGCCACCTAGCAAGGAGTAAAAGGGGGAGGGGTGCAGTGTAAGGTGGAGGAAAAAGCAACCGAGGCAACTAAGCCGCCGAATTCGTCGGAGGCATGTTCACCCTTCCAACTGAGGGGATCATAACCACGTGGACAGCACAACAAATACCTCTACACGTAATGATACGTAGCAGCGGATCTACTTAACAAGGGGAACCTCTAGAGCGACCAAGACGGACAACTTCTAGGTCCGAAAACTGCCCTGATTGTGGCCGATTCTGCCGAACAACGTTTTCTTTACCTAAGGCTTCCAGTTTTTTTAGCATGTCGGACATTCTATATGAAGGACGCCAGGTGTTAACTAATGGGGGCGCATGGCACAGAACGACTTTCGTCTTAGAATATCGTCCTGCTGTTGAGTTCAGACTGTCTCGCTCAAGGACTTCTGTGAATTACAGTGGTCGGAAACCTGGGTCTCCATACGAAAGACTCGATGTTTTCCGCCGTCGGGGATGCTTCATGCAGCAAGTGGATTTTTGCAGATGGTATGATTATTGTACTTACGCGTACTTGATAAGGCTGTGATCATGTTTGACCTAGCCGGCCCCTCAACGATATCATGGACGGTACCCCTCCTTCACGCGTGACGATTGGCGGCTGCGCGAATCTGGAAAGCTCCAACCATGCTCTTGTCCAGCGACGGAGACCGAAAATCGAAGGTCCAAGGACTGCTTCCATCTC